AGGCAAAACTGTCGATTGAATATGATGTGGTCTATTTCGTTGTGGAATCATCCACCAGGAGACTCCCATTCCAACGTTTAGATTCTGCCTTCTGGAACTGTGAGTTACCATGAATTGTCTTGGTCGACATGATGAACTCAGACAGTCTCTCACCCTGTTCGTTCCATTCTAGGCCATGGGTCCCAATGTGAAGTTCTTCAGCTGATCTTCTCGGTCCTATCTTGGCATTAAAATCACCCACAATGATCTTGTAGAAGGTGTGGTCTTCTTTATAGAACTTCTCCATGTAGAACTTCTTGTAGAAGGTGTGGTCTTCTTTATAGAACTTCTCCATGTAGAACTTCTCGATTTCTCTTTCATCATAATGAGATGTTGGTGCGTAGACAACGAAGATAGAAACTGCCGGCAGTGAGCCACATCTATTCAAATGTAAACGTCTGATTTGGGTTGTTAGGCATTCAAATGAATCAATGCTCATGGCCAAGTTTGTGTTGACAAGGACACCGACGCCTCCAACACCTCTTTTATCGCATGTTCCGAGGAACAATTCTTCTCCAGTGTCGAAAACGGCATGGTGAGATTCGTGCCTTCTTGTCTCGATCAGACCAATGATGTCGTACTTGATCATTCGTGCTTGTACCATCAGGTCCTCGATGGATGCATCTGATGCTAGCATACGTGCATTGAAAGTACAGACGGTCATTTTTGTCTTCCTTCATTGTGGCAGCCTAGTTCGGCCTTGAGATTTTATCGGCCTCTCCTTTCTCATCCTTCTCAGTGCTGCCATGTCGGTGAAGCCTTCAGGGTCAGGTGAATGAGACCAGTTGTAATTATTGGTTTTGGCATATCGAATACACAACGGATAGCTTGCCAGGCTCTTCCGTGCAGGCGGAAAACTTTCGGTAGCTTGCCAGTCTTTCCGAGAGGGATAGAGGCTTTTGGGGCGACCTCTAATCACCCTCGTAGGTGTTACCATATTTGAACCCTATCAAATATGGTACAGCAATTCCAGGAGATGGGTATTTAGTGTCTTATGATGTGTCTGGAAAGCGTCCTGGAGTGTGGCGGTGGCTGGGTAGTGGAGGTAGTGTCGGAAGCAATTCACAGCAATTCTATAAGTTTAAGGTATTTCTTACTGTATTCATACAAAATGATTTATATCATGTATGCTTGTATGTTTGTTGGACAAGGAGAGGAGAAACACATCCAGGGGATTCTGTTCTAGGGTGGGTCTTTCTGCTGAGAGAGTATCTGTCCTAGAAGCAGTGGCTTTCCCTGAGGAAAGAACTTTACCGCTGTTGACAGTGACCACACCTATGTGTAATTGTTACCCCAACCCCTCATGCTTTGGGATTTAACTGTAAGAGTGGGCTGAAGGATCAGAATTTAGACTCCAAAGAAGGAGGAAAAAGGGGATCAGGAGCCAGACTCCAGAAGAAGGAGAAGGAGAAATGGGATCCAGATTCCAGAGCCAGAAGGAGAATAAAGGGGGATCAAGGAGGAGAATAAAGTAGCATGGAGGAGGCAGAGGAGAGGGACAGATATGAATGGAGAGAGGGTTGGAATAAACTGCAACTAAGACCAACCAGCCTGGTCCTTGTTCCTTCCTTCACCTGCCCAACGCCATCTACCTCCCTGGGGTGGGGGAAACGGTGTGAGACTACCAAACGCAGGCAGTGGGAGAGATAGAAGGCAGCCACAGAGGTTTTTTTGAGTTTACACAGTTTTATTTGAAGGTGGAAAAAGTCTTGATCTTTGCTGACATCACTGAATCATGGCTTCAAATCTCTTTCCAGCTCCCCTCACCCTTTATTTTCAAAAAACTTTAAATTTTAGGATAGATTCACTGAAAAGCTGTCAGAGTAGTAAAAATAATCCCTAAACACCCATTATTAATACTTCGGGGCTTGGGTTACCTTGGTCACAACTAAGAAACCAATCATACAATGGCAATATTTAAAAATATTTATTTGATGGGGCTGGAGAGATAGCACAGCGTGTAGGGCGTTTGCCTTGCATGCGGCCGACCTGGGTTCGATTCCCAGCATCCCATATGGTCCCCTGCACACTGCCAGGAGTAACTCCTGAGTGCAGAGCCAGGAGTAACCCCTGTGCATCGCAGGGTGTGACTCCCCAAAAGATATTTATTTGAAGAACCACAATTTACAAAGTTATTGACTAGTCCAGTTGTAGGCATATGATATTCCAACACCAATCCAGTGACAGGTGCATTTCAAACTTCCATGGAATGATTAGCAGTATGACTAAGCTCCGTGTTTTATTTGGCTTTCTCTTTTCTCCCTAAAAAACAACCACGCAAAAAAAAAAAATCACTTTTGTCCCAACATTTGCCATAGAGCATCGTGTACCCCGGTTCCGGCCCCTTCAATCCCGTCAGTGCCTGGAAGGTTCTCAGGTCCACTTCTCTGGCCGTGGACGCTGCTCAGGTGTTCGGTAACCTGTTTTGCTGGTGTCAAGTTTTGCTCAAGAAGGAACTGGGTGCTTCAGGTTTGGGGGTGCACTAGGTGCCAGGTTTCTCCACTACAGAATCCCACAGTCACTAAATCCATCACCAAGGGGTGTGTGAGTGTGAGAAACTCAATCTCATCGCTCTGCGGGAGGCGGCATGCCAGGATAGCCATGGAATTTTCCAGAAGGCTGCCCAGAAGTCCGCGAGGAGGAAGTAGACCTAGGTTGGCTGAGCAGGGGTCAAAGGGCATTTGGAGAACCGCCAGCCCGTACCCTGGAGGCCTGCCTGAGCGCGCCCCTAGCGGCGCGCGGCGACACTGCAAGGAGAGGCAGCCGCGCGCCCGCGGCTCCCGCCGCCCAACCCACTTCCGGGGTTGGGATGCGCCTGCGCGCGCGCGCGGCGCCGGCGGCGATGGCTCCGGACGGAAGCGGGGCCGCGCGCGGTGACTGAGCGCTGTCGGTTCGTGAGGGTTCGCGGCGGGAGGTGGGCCTGGAGATCCCCGAGCCGTTCCCTCTGCGGCAGTGTTCTTGCAACCCGTGTTCTTCTGTGGCGCGGAGTTTGACTGTATGTGCGCGCGGCCCGCCGCCACGTTGAGGTCCGAGCCCCGCCCCGCGCTGTGCCGGCGACTTCCGGGGCGGGAGCTATCACAGCCGTTGCTCGGGTAACAGAAGCTGCCGCGGCCGTTGCCCGGGTAACGGGAGCTTGGGGATGGGCAGGCAGTGGGAATGGGTCTTCTGTTTGGTTGTTTGCGTGGAAGAACGGAGATCAGAGGCCGCGCATGATACTGCGCAGGACTTTGATGACCCTCCTATCATCTGGAAGATATTCACAGGCTGCAACTAGGACCTCCGCCCCCCCCCCCCCCCCCCCCCCCCCCAGCTAAAATTGGGCTGAAGGCGCAGGTTTTTTCAGGGAAAGAAACCAGACCTCAGGAGTTCTTCCTTTGACGGTGCCTTCGCAACAGTTCTCTTTGCCTTGTTTTCTGGCCACACCGGGCGGTGCTCAGGGATCACTCCTAGGTGGGGGGCTTGGGGGACACTCTCCGGTGTTGGGTTGTGAATCCCCGTTGGCAACATGTGCAAGGCTGTGGCATCCTGCTATCTGCACAGAGCTGCGAGTTAGGGCAGCTTGGCAAAGACTCTGTTGTTGACGAAGATTCCAGAGCTGTTCCAGGCATGCCCCTCCCCGAGGAAGCTCTGGTTTTGGTTTTGGTGTTTCCTTTGGATGTGGCTCATTTTCCTTAAATAAAACTTTTGCTCTGTGCTCTGTTTTCTGACATTCCTCACTTCAGAGAGGGAGAGAGAGACAGGGAACCTGGACTCAGTAGAGATGGGAACTGGTTTTCCCCACCCAGAGAAAAGCCCTATCCCTGAGAATCATGGGCCTGTGGTGGATCTCTGGTGCGGTGCGATGGGCTCACTTAGCCTCGCAGGACTTGAGCATCTGCACAGCACCTGATGCTCCCAGTCCCCAGGTGTCCCCCCCAAGAATCACAGTAGGATACAAAAGTCCTGGCAAAAGCCCCCTCCCCTGGCACGTTTTTGAATATCTTTCACTCTTGTTTTATATGGTTATGGGATGTGCTCCAAAACAACTCCAAAGGGATAATTGACTTGGGCTGGAGCGATAGCACAGTGGATAGGGTGTTTGCCTTGCACGCGGCCGACATGGCTGACTTGAATTCGATTCCTCTGCCCCTCTCAGAGAGCCCGGCAAGCTACCTAGAGTATCTCACCAGCACGGCAAAACCTGGCAAGCTACCCGTGAAGTATTCGATATGCCAAACACAGTAACAAGTCTCACAATGTTACTGGGCCCGCTGGAGCAAATAGATGAACAACGGGAGGACAGTGACAGTGACCATGTTTCACAACTCTCATTATTTTCTTCTTTAATATTTCTTTTTTTGGGGGGGGCCACACCCAGGACTTACTCCTGACTTTGCATTCAGGGATCACCCCCTAGTGACCTTGGGGGACCATATGGGATGCTGGGAGTGAACCTGGATTGGCCATGTGCAAGGCAAGCACCCCTACCCGCTGTGCTATCACTTCCACCCCTATTACCCCTTATCCAATGATAGTGAGTTAAGAATCCTGTTATTTTTTTCTCACTGAAAGCTTTCTTTTATTTTTCCCTCTCCTTTTAAGATTTCCTCGTTGATGAGGGCTTCATGGCTGCTCTTTATGCAAAGTACAGTGAGAGTGGAGCCGTAGTATCGCTAGTCTTGACTTGCGTTCGTCACCAGTGCACATGGTAGTGTAGTTTTCATTAGTTAGCATTCAGTAGGATCTCCAGACAAAATTGTTAGGGGGATAAAGAGAGATTTTAATCTCTGTGCCAGGGGTCAGGAATTAAGCTCATGTAATGTTTTGTTTTGCATATAGAAAGCCACTTTATTTGGCTTACTGAATGTTTGTATGTTTAAATATTTACAGGTACAAAGAACCATGATTGTTATTACTGACTGGAATGAAACGCAAAGGAAACCCTTTAAACTTCTGTGGGACACTTAAACAGAAACTTGAGCTTTAGTATGAGGAAGGGCAGAGGAAGAACCAGCCGGGTCAGAAGACAGAAGCTTCTCAGAAGTTCTGAATCAAGAGGAGGTATACTCATGATTCTCTGAGTGCCAGTGATGAAAAGAGGGTTCCTTTGTTGAAGGGAATTAGCGGACACACATGGTTTTGTTCAAAGGGTCATGGGCAAGGATCAGAGCGAATATTTTCTTAAAGACTCCTCTTTCCAGCAGGCCCATTTCCTTCCCTCTAAACCCTGGAGGAGAATCTCTTTCTCATGCTTCATATGAATGAATCTATGAAGCTCTCTGTGAATGAAGATACAAATCTCTTTCTCATGCTTTGTATGAATGAATCTATGAATCTCTGTGAATGAAGATATGAATCTCTTTCTCATGCTTCAGCTGTGTTCTCTCTGGGGTATGAGCCCAGGTTTCCATTACTGGTCCTGAACTCCAGCAGCTTGCATGTTTGGATGTAAGTCCATCATTTCAGATACAGTAGAGCCCAACCTGGACAGGATGGCAATCGATAAATTGGGCTCAATCCTTAGGGCATTTTGAAGGATTCCCTTTCTTGGGGCTTTATTTGAAGAAACACAGGATAACGCAGAGCACATGTTGACTTGTTACTGGGTAAGGTCAGCAGCAAGCTGTTGGCAGTTATCTTTTGGGGGAGTTAGAATGACTGTGAGTGTTTTTTGGGGGCCCTAACGGGTGGGGCCCAGAGATTACGGTGGGGGAAGCAGTCACTTGGGTGGAGTGTGTGAGGTTGGGATGCTGCCTGCAAGAAATCTGAACATTAACAATACTGTGAATCAAACTAAAAGAAAATAAATTGAATATTTGACTTTGTTAGTGTCCCTAAAGCTTGCACTGTTCAAGGTCAGCTATAACTTGATTTTGATTTTTGTATATACTCGGGAAGGCCACTGCCACAGTTGAGACTATGAACCAAAAAACCCTGTTCTTTATCAGGCTGAGGAGCTTTCCTTTGCTCTTGATTTGCTGAGGAGAGATACCAAGAACAAAAGTTAGTTTATGGCTGGCTGGGTGTTTTTTTTCCCCCCTTTGGTTTGCATTATTCACGTATTTAAAAATAAATTGTTTTCTCTCATAACTGACGGCGACAGTTCACCAGAGATTAATCTTTTTTTCAAAAGCGATGTGATTATACAGTGCTTCGACTCACCATTTCTTTCCTCCTTTTCTCTCTTGCTTAGTGCCCGAGAGCCACAAGCCCGAATTTATTGAGCTTAAGAAGTGGCTGAAAGACCGGAAGTTTGAAGATACAAACTTAATACCGGCTCGTTTTCCAGGTGAGGCCCTGGCCCACCTCTCAGGGGAGAAAAGTGGGCTGAGGTGGGGGGTATTGGAGGAGCTCTTACACACAGGCTGTCCCTTCTCTGGGAGCGTCTCAATGTCATGTATCTGTCCAACTTTCTGCTTTTCCAGATTGGGGTCCTAAACCAGCCTATGGTGTCACTCTGTCCAAAGAAGGGGAAGTTGAATATGGCCAGGCATCAGATGATGGGCAGGCCTGGAAATAAGCAGGCCACCTAGAACTGGAAACAACTTATAGGGGATGTTTGTGGAAATGGGACCACGCTGTTGGTCTCAGGGGAGCTAAAGCAGATGGGTTAGCTGTGGCCAATGCCCCTCCCCAGGGTATAGGGCCTGCTGTCCCTGGGTCACCTAGAGCAGGCGTGGACCACAATGAGCCTGGAGCTCCTTTGCCTGAGGGAAGGAGCAGGTGTTGGCAGGTGCTCTGATAGGGAGTCGCCTTCCTGGCCTGTGAATCTTTGTATCGTGGGGCTGCAGCCATGATCCAGCGGGACGGGCGCTTGTTTTGCACGCAGCTTACCTGGATTCTATCCCTCGCATCCTGCTATCATCCCCTGAGCACCACCAGGAGTGATTCCTGAGCATAGATTCAGGAGTGACCCCTGAGCATCAATGGGTGTGGGAACCCCCACCCTACCCCCTGCCTCCGAATCAAACTACAACCAAAAAAGATCTTTGTTTTGTGTTTGCACGCAGAACAGAGCAAGCTCTGTGTGTCTTCTAAGGGCTTTTTCCTTGTGACCTACTCACTTCTGGGAGGCTCCATCAGGGGGTTGGGGTTCAGCCCTGAATTGGGGTGGGAGGCACAGACCTTTGATGCAGAGTAAACATTCCGCATGCTCTGTCACCTCTTAGTGTGTTATAGGCAGGAACGTGTGCTGGATTCTGCTACAATGTGCTAAGCTTTGGGAGGTTGATCTTTGCAAGAGGATAAGAGGATTCAGTCTTTATACCCTTAAATAGGTTGTCCTTTGGGAACTGTCAATATTTCCTTTTTTTTTTTTTTTTTTTGGAACTGTCAAAATATTTCTTTCTACAACCAAAATGGTGAGTCGATCTGGACTTCCCAGGTAGGTTTGGTAGCAGAAGTTTTTTTTTTTTTTTTCTTTTCCTTTTTGTTTCTGGGCCACAGCTGGTGATTCTTAAGGGGTTATCCCTGACTCTGCTCTCAGGAATCACTCCTGGTAGTGCTCAGAGGATCATATGGGAGGCCGGGGATCAGGATCGAACCCTGGTTGGCCGTGTGCAAGGCAACTTGTGCCCTGCATCGAGGAATCTACTAAGCTTTATTATGATTAGATCCCCAAAGGCTACGTCCTGGCCCACTGGAGCTGGTCTTCAGGGCTGTGGTCTGCTTCCTGATACTAGAATTCCATGCTGTAGAAATGGCAGGAAAGCATCATCCAAGTCTAGTTCATAATGTACGTTTGGGGAGAATTTCCACATACGTTAGGAAATGAGTCTTTGAGAGGATGACTCCGAAGTGGGGGAAAATACTCTCCAGTTAGTAATTGATTCTCACCCACAGAGGTGATGCTGTCACACTGAATAAATTATTTCTCTGTGTGTTTACTAGGCCTTATCTGGTGGCTGATTTGGGCTTTGTGCCCGGGGGCCTTGAACCCAGGCTTCCTGCCTGCGCCTGCTTCCTTGGCACCACTGTGCTCTCTTGGGGTGGCACCAAGTTCTGTAAGCCTAGACCATGTGTCTGAACAGTCAGTGTGTCCCTGGATGGGGAGACATCAAATCACATCAGATGCGCCCGTTCCCCATGTCAGGACTCGGGAGGGAGCCCTCCCTCCCATCAACCTGGAACAGCAGTGGACTGACTGCGGCCTTGCTCCTGGGAGCCGCTGGCCCTGAAGCCGCCAGTTGGGTGCAGCCATCGAAGAGCTGCTTGCCCGGCTGGGGGGATGGCCAGTGGGGGGTGGAGTCAGGGAGACGGAGACTCAGACCATTTCGGGGAAAGCAGGTCTCCACACCAGCTGGCCGGTTCCGAAGGAGCCTGCATACCACGGGCTTCCCGTAAAAGCCCAGGATGGTCTGTATTTGGAAAGTTAGGACCTGGCTTTAGGTCCCACTCTGTCCGTCAACGAGTGTCAGTCCCCGAGGAGATGGGGACGTTTTCCAGATTGGCATCCCCCCTCCCTGCCTGGAGGCAAAGGACACACTTGGCTCTGGTTTCAAGTGCTTCTGAAGTTCATTCACACCCTTTGTCCCGGTTCCTGGGGGCTATGCTCTTGACCACCCGTGGGATTTACCCCTTTCCCTCTCTCTGCTTTCCTAGGTACTGGAAGAGGGCTGATGAGCAGAACATCCCTGCGGGTAAGACTTTCTCTTTCCACCTTGAAGCCCAGGGTCAGCCTTCTGGACTGTTTGGGTTTTGTGGTTCCAGACAGGGGAATGGAAGATACTGAAGCATGGTGTGCATGTGGGCATGTCTCACGTGCTTCATACATGTAATCTAATATACTTCCATTAGGATTAGCTCTGCTGTTTATGGGAGAACAAGCCCAGAGGAAGGAGTGCTCAAGTGGAACAGAGGTTAATTTTGCTCCTGTCTGCAGCCTGGTTGGTGTGGTGTCTCGTTGCATCAGAGCCTAGACCTCTGCCAGCTCAGTGTTCACCTCCCAGCGGGGGCCTGGAGTCCAGGAATCCGGGCAGCAGGATGGATACCGGGGCTGAGGAAGGGCAGACCTCCTCCTCCACGGAGACTGGGTGTACATTGCACCCACCTGGGACCGTGGGCATGAGCGCTTCAAGCTGGGAGGGACGTGCTGGCCTGTCCTGGCCCCTGGCCCCTGGCCCGAGGCCCTCCAAGGGGGGTTGCTTTGTGAGGGGTGTGAGAAGGGGTGTTGAGCCAGGGCCAGGGCTGGCACAGAAAACTATGCACACGGGGACCTATTTTGTTCCTATAAATTAATTTTTACTGAAGTAATGTTGGTTCACAAGAGAATAGATGTTTGAATTTTAGGGGTGCAGAAGCCACCATCAAATACCAACTTCCTAAGCCCAGGGTGGCTGAGTACAAGGCTATGCCCTCCCCGCCATCCTGTGGCTCCAGCCCCCTTGCCCTCTCCCCCTTCCCTACCCCCACACACACTGTCAGCACTACGCTTGCTTGATTCATTTGGGCAGTGTTTTTATTTACTTCTTTTTGAGGGGAGATATTCTTTTTTTTTTTTAATTGAATCACCATGAGCTACAGTTACAAAGCTTTCATGTTTGAGTATCAGTCATACAATGATCCAACACCCATTCCTCCACCAGTGCACATTCTCCACAACCAATGTCCTCAGTATCCCCGCCCCCTCCATCCCAACCCTCCCCCTGCCTCTGTGGCAGATGATTTCAAGGGGAGATGTTCTTCACTGCTCTGCAGCAAAGTTTGGGGAGGAGAAAGACATCCCCGTCCCCGTTCCCCCCCCCGCCCCCTCGCCGGGGGGATAGCAGTAACTGGGATAATTTTTGTTTGGAGTGTCCTGTGAGATTTGGTAGTTGCTGGATGTGTTGTGTACTGTTCGCCAGGAGAGGTCAGTGGATTGCGGACATGACCAGACTCTGGCCTGTGGCGCTTCCCCAAGGCGTTCTAAACTGGGCTTTCTCTCGGGCAGGACGGACAGGTGGTCATCTCGCTGCCCGAGACCTGCCTGCTCACTACGGACACAGTGATGAGGAGCTACCTGGGAGCGTACATTGCCAGGTGAGTGTGTCCGGCGGCACCGGGTTATTAAGGCACAGTCCCTTAGAGGGACTCGTGTCTGAAAGGACGGAAGGGTCTGCTTGGCCTCGGAGATGTTCTTTACTCACTGTAAACTGCCTTTTGTGGGGTTTGGGTGGGAATCCTGACCTCTCTCTGGCGGACCTGGACAAAGCGGGGAGTGTCGTGTGAGCCTGTTGGTCCCCATCTTTCGTCAGTCAGCGACGCTCCTTTTGGTTTCTCCCTTTACTTGCTTGATTTTTCTTCACCTCCACAGAACTGTTAACAGCATGAGTTTGTTTTTTGTTTTGGGGCCACATCCAGGGTACTCAGGGCTTCCTCCCGGCTCTGCGCTCAGGGATCACTCCTGGTCTGCTTGGGGGACCATAAGGGATGCAGGGAGTCGAACCCCGGTCGGCTGTGTGCAAGGCAAATGCCCTACTTGCTATTCTATTGCTCCGTTAATTGTACTATTAGCTATTGAGTTAGTTTTACTTTGTGGAGAAGAGGGGAGGTCCATTACTCAGGAGGTCAGAATTTTTTTTCCGGCAGATTATATTACAGTGGAGGCTTTGTTCTCTGGGCACAGAGGGAGGAGAGGTTTCTTAAATGATGAGGATTGAATGATAGTGCTCTTTCTTAACCAGGGTAAATTCTAGAATTTCCCCCCTCGTGTGTGTGTGTGTGTGTGTGTGTGTGTGTGTGTGTGTGAGATTTTTGGGCCACACAGGCAGTGCTCAGGGCTTACTTCTATCTCTGTGCTCAGGATCCCTCCTTAAATGCTCGGGGAACCATATGTGGTACAGGGATCAGAGTTGGCTAAATGCAAAGCAAGATCCCCACCTGCTGTACTGTTTCTCTGGCTCCATGTTTGTTTCTTGAAGCAAGGAAGGATGCTTGCACGAGAAACATTTTCTGTATGCTACTGAAATTTTGCGAGACTATATGGGCTGGAGCAATAGCACAGCGATAGGGTGTTTCCCTTGCGCACTGCCTCCCGGCCGACCCAGGTTCGAGTCCTCCGCCCCTCTTGGAAAGCCTGGCAAGCTACCAAGAGTATTCCTCCCGCATGGCAAAGCCTGGCAAGCTACCCGTGACGTATTCGATATGCCAAACACGGTAACAACAAGTCTCACAATGGAGACGTTCCTGGGCCTGCTCGAGCAAATCGATGAGCAATGGGAGGACAGTTGTTCATACGGTGAAACAGTTATCTGAATTTTGAGGGATACGTTTTATTTTTACTAAATAAAATACATTTTATTTTTACTAAATAAAAACATTCCTCAACGTTTGAGGAATGAACTTTGAGGGATTTGGTTTTATTTGACAAAAACAAAAATTTTATTAATTTTTTTTAAATGTAAAGAACTGTGATTTACAGAGATGCTGGTAGTTGAGCTTTAGACATATAATGCCATATTCTAGCTCCAACCTTACCGCCAGTGCCCCTCCACCAAATGCTCCCAAGCGACCCCCGCCGCCTCCCCACACCTTGACAGGCACAGTTTCCGATTCTGTGGTTGTAGTTTGGATCTCCTGTTGGTGGAAACTTTTCTAAATATATTTATGGAACAAGAACTCCTGTTGATAGCAAATAAATTAATTTGCAATAGGATGGGTCAGTTTAGGGACAAAAGTTGTGGAGTAGTAATAAGCGCAGCATGAGCATTTTCAGTTCTCCGTCTAGCTTAGTACCAAACAGTGGAACTTACTTGCAGAGATAGTTTTGCACGCATGGGGTGGTTGCTGTGGCCACTTACAACTCTTGAAATGTGACTTATACAAGGAGTTGAACTTTAAAGAAAGAGGACCGGGCCAGGGAGAGAGTACAGATGTTGGCTATTAACCCCACGTGTTTTGAATTGCCCCTTTTCCTCCCCGCCCCCCAAGCCCAGAGAAGCTTACGGTGCTCGTGAGAGCACTCCTAATCCCCCAGGTTTATCTTCAACGTTCTCCTTGTGCTTCACCTCTCATTCTGTCAGCTACTGAATGCACCAGGTCAGGCTTGGTTCCTTATAAAGTCAAACCTTCTGGTAACTCTGACTTTGTATCTGTAGTGAATGAGTTGCTTTTCTGTTTCCTCTATAACCTTTTCATATTTGCCTATAGAGCAATGTTCTTTGCTTAAACACAGGAAGGCCGTTAATGCTGTGCTCCTAATTTTGGGGAGTTAATTGACTCCGAACTTTATCTACTCTTGGGCACCTGTCATAATTAATTGACTTAGACTTCTGTCGCTATAGTTCTTTTATTTTATTTTTTTGCTTTTTGGGTCACACCCGGTGATGCTCAGGGGTCCTCCTGGCTCATGCACTCAGGAATTACTCCTGGTGGTGCTTGGAGGACCATAAGGGATGCTGGGAATCAAACCTGGGTTGGCTGCATGCAAGGCAAATGCCCTACTCGCTGTGCTACCGCTCCAGCCCCTGTCGCTGTTGTTCTTAATCCTCCAAAAAGCTGGATCCCACTGAATGAATCTCTGGATGTACCCGGGGGCAAGCAGCGGAGCTGTCCTGGCTTCCATATCGGACAGTCTGGAAATATATAAAGCACAGTCTTGATATGAGCCATAATGACCTAAAAGACAGAACCCCATGGGGTAGGAAAAGCTAAAGCTAGAGCTACCCCAGGGGCCCTGGGAAACCACTAGTCTGGGATTTATGGTAAAAGCCCAGTCGACTTTTAACCTCAGCTCACAGAGCCCAGAGAACTAAGTTTTGGAATCTATGTTTCTTACTGCGTTTATCCAAATAACTGCAAATATTAATAAGAACTGCAAACATTAATAGGAAGTAAAGTTAATAGTTTAATATGTACTAGCAGCAAGGGAAAGAGAAGAGCAGTATAGATGCATGTCACTCCCCAAGCAAATCTCTCCATCTAGTCCCAGACAGAGCATCTCCTTGAGTTAATCCCCCCAGGGAATTTCCTCTGTCAGAATGCTTTCCCTTCGTGCAGTCCTGTACCTCGAACCCCCTCAGATGTGCTTATTTATTAAGTTCTTCAGTTCCGAATTAAACGTCCACTGTCTCTTGATCTGACTTGAATTGAGTCAGTTCATGGTCCCCATCTCTTTTTTTTTTCTACCATGGAGATGGCTCTCCACTACCAAACCCTGCCTCCCCCCCCCCCCCCCCCCCCCACACACACACACACTTTTCTTTACATACAGATTTTTTTTTTTGGTGACACCTGGCAGTTCTCAGCCTTGCTCCTAGCTCTGTGCTCAGGTCTTGTTTCTGAAGAGACGCAGGCGACCATATGGGATGCTGGGGATTGAACCTGGGTTGCCTCTTCCACTTCCCCCACAGCCCGAGAACAAGGATTTTATCTGCACACTATGTGGCTTCCCAGGGCCCCTGGGGTAGCCCTAGCAGCACTGTCCCCTCAGGCCCTCGACCAGAGCCACTGGGTGCCACCCCTGACCCCCTGTGCACCTCTTGGACCCCCACATCCTCTTAAAGTGGAAAGAGCTACCCATACCCCATGGTTACTGTATTGGATGGGGCAGGTCTAGGTTCTGTCCATCAAATCAACCGTATCCACCTCCCAGTTTTCTGCCCTTATCCAGGGGGAACAAGAGGCTGTCCATCTCAAGCTTTCTGAGCGGAGAGCCAATTGGAAGCTGGTCCCTTTGCCAATCAGGATCTCTTGCCAACAGATCTGGAACTTGGGCTGGTGAATCTGTTCTTGTCACTCATTGCGGGTGACTTGTATACAGGGCTCTGGCCCTGGAGGTCCTCCTGGAGGGAGGGGTACCTGCTCGATGCATTAAGAAATCTTGGGATGGGCCGGATCCATAGAGTAGCAGTAAAGTGATTGCCTTGCACACGGCCAACCTGGGTTCAATATATGGTCCCCTGTGCCCAGCAGGAGTGACTCCTGAGCACTGAACCAGGAGAGACCCTTGGACATCGCTAGGTGTGACCCAGAAACAAAAGCAAAAAGAAATGAATGGAACTCTTGGGACTGTGCGGGGGACCCGGTGCCACCCCTCGCGAGTGGAACCGCAATAGCCGGTGTATTCGCAACACTCCACATCTTGAGTACAGACAGTTCTGCGTAATCTGGCTCTTCTCACAGGTGGCAGCCTCCCCCGTCGCCTGTGCTGACTCTGTGCACCTTTCTGGTTTCTGAGAAGCACGCCGGGGAGCGGTCGCCCTGGAAGCCTTACCTGGACACTCTGCCGTTGGCCTACACCTGCCCGGTGTGCTTGGAGCCCGAGGTGGTGGACCTTCTTCCCAAGCCACTGCGGGCCCAGGCCGCAGAGCAGAGGGCCCGCGTCTGGGAGATGTTTACGGCCGCCAGGGGTTTCTTCTCGTCGCTGCAGCCGCTGTTTCCCCAGGAGGCCGTGGAGAACGTCTTCAGCCCCAGCGCCTTCCTGTGGGCCTGGTGCACGGTCAACACGAGGGCCGTGTACCTGCGGCAGCGGCCCGGCGACTGCTCGGCGCTCGCCCCCTTCCTGGATCTGCTGAACCACAGTCCACACGTGCAGGTGACAGGCCACCGCCCGCCCACTTGCCCTTCCGACCCTTCCTCCCCACTCCCACTGGTCCCCAGTGACCTGGAGCCCAGTTCAGGGCCCGGCTGTGGTGGGAGGTGTGTGGCCGCCAAACGGGGGTGGGGGAGGCAGAGTCCCACCGTCGGGGTCCCCCAGGTCCCCTCCTAGCTCTTCTACTGTGTGCCCTGGAGCTGATTTGCTTTGTGGGGTCGCGGGGAGTGGGGGAGGGGGACCCAGCGTTGGAGGTGCCTGCCCTTCCCCTGTGCTGTTCGGGGAGCCCTGGAGGCACATCCCGTGCCCGTCATGAAAGGGGAGCATGGGACCCCCCCAGTGGTTTCCCTCCCCTGCCCCCCCACCGCAGGGCCTCGATGCTGTGTGCGCTTGTCTTCTAGAAGGTGCTTTCTAAGTGCCGTGCTGCGCAGATGAAGGCTCAGCGAGGCAGCAGTGTAGGGGACAGGCTGGGGCAGCAATGGACGCAGGCCCTGCTCAGTCCCCATGGCCCGACTTTCTCCTGTGGGGGCGGCGAGGGCTCTCAGTGCCCCTAAACTCTGGCCAGGGTCAGGCCCTGCCTGTTTACTCTCTGGCTGCACTGGAGGACATTGACAGCCCAGACCTAAAGGACGTGGACTGCAGGGGCACTGTGGCCGGCTCTCACCTGTCACCATTGACCCCCACTAGTTTGCAGTGGGGTGCTGGACCTCCTCCCCTTGGGGGGGTGATGTGGGCAGGGTTGGGTGTGTCCCCCTTTACCTAGTAAGCAGCAGGAAGGGCCCCAAAATTCCACAGCAGGGTCCCTGCTGGTGTCCTGCTGCCCAGAGGCCGCGCCTACATGCAGTCAGTGCCTTGAGGGTGTTGGATTGCAGGGGGGTGGGCTGTTCTCCACATAGCCGCGTCAAGCCCACCCTCTCCCATTTCCAGGTAAAAGCAGCATTTAATGAGGAAACACGCCGGTACGAGATCAGCGCGGCCCCTGGCTGCCGGCGGGGCGAGGAGGTCTTCATCTGCTATGGCCCGCATGACAACCGGTGCCTGCTGCTGGAGTATGGCTTCGTGGCGGCCCACAACCCACACGACAGTGTCCCTGTCACCCTGGGTCTGTGTCACCTGGTGCTCGTGTCTCCTCTGGGCTGGGCTGGGTTGGTTTTCAGTCGTCATTGGAACGGCACAGCCTGAAACAGACCTCCTCTGGGTGGGCTACGCTTGAGGATCACTCTCTCTCTCTTTATTTTTATTTTTATTTTATTTTTTTAAATTTATTTTTAAATTTTTATTAGTGAGACACCAGGGCTGGAGCGATAGCACAGCGGGTAGGGCGTTTGCTTTGCACGCAGCCAACATGGCCGACCCGAGTTCGATTCCTCCGCCCCTCTCGGGGAGCCCGGCAAGCTACCGAGAGTATTCGATATGCCAGACACAGTAACAACAAAGTCTCCAATGGAGACGTTACTGGGCCCGCTCGAGCAAATTGATGAACAATGGGAGGGCCTTTACTTTACTTTACTTTACTTTAGTGAGACACCATGAGGTACAGTTGTAGACTTACAAATTTTGTGCTTGGGTTTCAATTATACAATGATCAAATACCCATCCCTCCACCAGTGCCCATTTTCCACCACCATGGATCCCAGTATCCCTCCCACCCCCCATCCCTCCCACCCCACCCTGCCTCTGTGGCAGGGCATTCCTCTTTGTTCTCTTTCTCTTGAGGATCACTCTCATTTTAATATTTTTTTGGGGGGGTCTTTTGTTTTTGGGTCACACCCGGCGATGCTCAGGGATCACTCCTGACTCTGTGCTCAGGAATCACTCCTGGTGGTGCTCAGGGGACCCTCTGGGGTGCTGAGGATCGAACCCAGCTCAGGCACGTGCAAAACACAGACCCTGCCTGCCGTGCTGTGGCTCTGGTCCCCTCTCACTTCGGTGCCGGAGTAGCAGCCAGGAAGCTTTCTATTGAGGGTACGAGCGGGGGTGGGGTGGGGGGGCTTCTGCTGGGGTCAATGCACAGGACGGAAGGGGAGGAGAGCTGCCCAGGACAGTTGTACTGCTGCTGGGTGCCAAGAAAAGGACATTTTTGTACTGAGACTTGGCTTCATACCGAGATTTTTTTTGGGTTAATAAGCTAGGATTAGAGAGCAGTAAGTTAAAAAAGTACCTGCTGCCTTTCCCTATCCTTCCTGCCCCCCCCCCCCCTTTACTGCTGGAAGCCCCAGCAGCTACACCCACACCACCCAGCTGCCTGCCTGTAAGCAGCGGCCCGGCCTCGTGGCTTCACGACTCGTCTTGTCGGAGATGCCAGCCAAATCCCAGGGCCTCACGGAACACTGGGTGCTGCTGTGGACTGAAAACTTCAGGGCTCCCGCAGGAGGGACCTGGGCCCCGTGCCCACCCTGCCGAAGCCTCGGTGGCCACCCCCAAGCCCCACAGCCACTGCTGTGCCAGCAGCCAGCTAGCTGGACTGCTTCTCCTCTCATTCCTGTAGAGGGCCGTGCTGAGGGGTGCTTAGGCAAGCCCTTTTCCCGGCAGGGGACTCGGGGGTCTTCTCAGATGGGCTGGGCAGCCTCCCCCCAGTACTGACGGAAGCCCCGGCAGCTGCCCCCCGCCTCCCACAGCCTCTGCCGTGTGAACAGCGACCCAGCCTTACGGCTGATCATGGGAGGAAGGCACGCGCAGCCCTGGGAACTCGCGGGTGCGTGGGTCCTTGGACTGAATGCTCTGGGGACCCCTCAGGAGTGGGGAAAGGCCAAGAGTCATCCCAGTGCTTCAGGTCCTGTAGCTCCCGGAGCACGACACCTCCAAATTCCACCAGGCCCGCTGCCCAGCAGGAGCGCAGCCAGTTAGGTGGGAATGCAGCGTAGATGCCAGCCAAGATCCTGGACTGGAACGGATACGGGAGTCGCAGCCAGCGGCAAGCCGCATGCTGAGTCCTGGTGGCTTTCATATCCCCACCGTCAGAATAGTTAGCACAACTTTTCTTTTCTTTTCTTTCTTTTTTTTTGGTTTGCTTTTTGGGTGACACCCGGCGATGCTCAGGGGTTACTCCTGGGTCTGCACTCAGGAATCCTGGCGGTGCTCAGGGGACCATATGGGATTCTGGGAATTGAACCCAGGTCGGTCGCATGCAAGGCAAACTCCCTCCCCTGTACCATCGCTCTGACTCCTCATGAAATTCTTACAGATTCTCAAGGGCTCAATAATGATTTTATTGACTTGAAGACTAGAATTTTTTTTTCTTGGTGTGGGTTCCAGTCCACTGTGTATCTGTCTATATCGATACTAAGAGGAGAGGAAGTGAGTTGGGAAGGAAAGATTCCCCCTTGCAGTGACATCCTAAATCTCTCTGATTTTCTTTCTATTTTTCCTTTCTTTTTCTTCTTAAATGCAGATACACTTGTTAAATATCTTCCATCAGCAGATAAACAGATGAACAAAAAGATTTCCATTTTGCGGGATCACAACCTCACAGAGTAAGTGTGTTTTTCTCGTTTGATGTTCCTGTTGGGGGGTTTCACCATTGAAGGGGCTTCTGGCGTGTGAGCGGGGGGCCTGGCCCGCAGCGGGCCAGGGTCCCTGGAGCCCTTACTATGTATCGTGAGTTGTGCTTCATGGGTGGGCTGTGTAAGACCATCTTGAGGGAACCTCGCTTGGGGGCCAGAGAGCTGGTCTGGGGCCACAGCCTTTGACCGGGTTCTATGCCCGGGCCCAGCACCAGGACTAGCCCCTGAACACGGCTGGGTGTGGCCCAAACCTGTCCTCGCCGCAGAGAGAAACCTCTTTGGGTCCCTGTGATACGGGTTTGAGATATTACTGGGTCCCGAGTGCGGAATAGGTTGGTTGTGCCATGGGGACTGGGTGGGTGCTGCTGGCTGGTCCTGGTCACCCCGTGACAAGGCACAGGGCCCCGGGTGAGGACGAAGCCAGGGGGTTCCCCACCGAATGGAAAGGATGGTGCAGGGCCTCCTGTGACGATTTTCTTTATGAGAGAGAGGGAGGTTTGATGATCCCCCCGCCGCTGGACAGCAGTGGGGGGCTGTGGGGTGGCCTCAGGATGACCCTAGTTCTTCATCTTCCCCCTCCCGGTGAGCTGGGCCACCCTCCCTCGGGCTTTGCCCACGTCCAGACTTCTTTTTCTTACTTTGTGACAAAGAGTGAAGGTGATTTGTGATCCCTTTCGAGAGCCTGAAGCCAGATGTTGCCCGTGTCGCTGTGGGCCCGGGGCCTGCAGGTACGGAGGTGATGCTGTTTCTCCTCCGCAGAGACCTGACGTTCGGCTGGGATGGGGCGTCGTGGAGGCTGCTCACGGCTCTGAAGCTGCTGTGTCTGCGTGCAGGAGAATTGTGAGTCCCGTGTGGTCTGGAGTCCAGGCCGGGGGAGGCGGTGGGCAGAGGCCCGGCCTGAGAGGAGGGAGGGAGGCCGCTGGGTCCTGGCTCGCTCCTTCTTTCAGTATTGTCATGACACGGCAGCGCCAGACTTCTCAGTCATCCCCGCGCCTGCCCTGAGGGCTTTTGAGCCATCTTCGGAGAACTTGGGCCCAGGAGCGTCAGGCCCAGTAGCGTTCGGCCTCCACCCAGCTGTTACCTGGGTGGTGACCCCCAGCCGGTGGTGTAGGCTCAGCTCTTAAGGAAGCAGAGCCTTGGCACGGCGAGGCGGGAGCCTCTGAGTCGGTCATTTTCCCTGCCAGGGTCCCAGTTGTGCCCGTGAGGGTGGAGAGGCCTGAATGTGTCCCGGGGCGGGCAGGGAGGCCGGCCTGGTCAGTGCCTTTCAGATTCCAGGGTGGCGGGAGCCCGCGTGGAGGGAAGAGGTTTGCTCACACCCACCCGGCCCTTGTCAGGATGTCAGGGAGTGAGTCCCAGTGCCGGGCTAACGCTCAGGACCGCAGCTGGATGGACAGCACAGCCGGGAGGGCGTTTGCCTTGCACGTGCCGGCTCCCATCACCTCAAAGGGTCCCCCGAACCCTCCCAGGAGTGAGCTCTGAGCACAGAGCCTGGAGTGAACCCTGAACACACTGGGTTTGACTGAAACAGAAGAGAACGCGATTTCGGGGACGGCTCCTTGGCGGCACCTGACCAGCTGCGTGCACTCTCGTTTCTGCCTCTGTCCTGAGAGCTTGTCCGCGCCTGAGCTTCAGCCGGAACCTTCAGTCTGTGGCTGTGCATATGACTTGTCCACTGTTCTGAGTTTCGGAGTGACCCCAGTACATCCCATCGCAGGGGGCAGCCCCCCACCCTCAGTCTTTCCGCTTCTGGCCCTCCCCCGCTTCCTCTGGCCTCCTGGACTGACTCTACCCCTTCAGGCCCTGGACCCGGACCCGGCGGGTCTGTGCTGTCTGCAGTGAGATGTTGCCTGCTCCCTCCTTCCCCTCGCCCTCAAGGCACCTCCTGGGATGATGGGGCTGCAGGGCCGGACCCCAGGGCCCATGTGAAGGAGAAATTGCCGTGGGTCCCTCCTGTGATCTCCCAGGCATTTCCACGGGGGCCACGGGGGAGATGGTGAACAGGGTTTGGGGAGGCGTAGCGTGAGATAAGGGCATAGCGGGTGGGACTGGAGAAACCCGGGAGGAAAAGAGGGCAGAGTCTGGGGAATATGGTCCAGAGCTCGTGGTGGGCTTGAGCCTTTCAGCAGGACCTCGCCGGAAGGGAAGGAGCACTTTGGGGTACCCAAGTCCTTAGGCGGTGGGGCCCTGAGCCCTCTTCCCGGTCTGCCTCCTACTTGGCTTCTGTGGCTGCAGACGGGGCTCCCAGTCACAGGGTGCGAGGTCAGTCAGACCCAGGGCTCAGCTCCTGCCCTGCTCTCCACACTGTGCCCTGGGAGTGCTCCCGTCCCTCCTCTACTCTATGCCCAGGCAGTGCTCCCTCCCTCCTTCGCACTTTGCCCCAGGAGTGCTCCCTCCCTACTCTCCACACTGTGTTTGGGAGTGCTCCCCTCCCTACTCTCCACACTGCACCCCAGAGGGCTCCCCTCCCTCCTCCACACTATCCTCTGGGAGTACTCCCCTCCCTGCTCTCCACACTGCCCCCTGGGAATGCACCCCTCCTTCCACACTATGCCCTGGGAGTGCTCCCCTCAATCCTCACTATGCCCCAGGAGTGCTCCCCTTCATCCTCCTCACTATGCCCCCTGGGTGCTCCCCTCCCTACTCCACACTGTGCCCTGAGGTATTCCCCTCCCTCCTCCACACCATGCCTCGGGAGTGCTCCCTCCCTTTTCTTCACACTGCACCTCGGGAGTGCTCCCCACCCTACTCTCCACACCGCACCCTGGTAGTACTCCCCTCCCTCCTCCATACTGCACCCTGGGGGTGCTCCCCTCCCTACTCCACACTGCCCTCTCTCCACACTATCCCCCGGGAGTGCTCCCCTCCCTCCTCCACACAGCGCCCTGGGAGTGCTCCCCTCCCTACTCCACACTGTGTCCAGGGGTGCTCCCCTCCCTACTCTCCACCCCGCTCCTTCGGTCCCTGTGTGCTCCAGCACAGGCGCCCCTCGTGTGGGAAGAGTGTGGGGAGTCCGCCACGGTGTCAGCTGTGTGATGTTTCTGGGACAAAATAGTCTGTGGTGGAACTGGGGAAGCCACCTGTAATTTGGGGGGCCAGCTAAAGGGATCTCACTGAATATTTCGGTTTTAGTACATGCTGGAAGAAAGTACTTCTTGGGGAAAGGATTTCTGATACCAACGAGAAGATGAGTTTGGACGTAGCCCAGAAAGTCTGCCGCTGTCTCCTGGAGGAGAGCGCCGTGGGGCTTCAGGAGGTGTGTGCCTGCCCCGCCTGACAGTGCTGCACTCAGAGGTCACTGTGGGCACGTTTTGGGTAGGGCATCCAGATCTTAACTCAGGACAGAGGCTCTGGGATTTATTTGGCCTGTCACTCTGTTTCTAGGGGATAAAAATCAACAGTCACCCCGCATCCCACCCCAGAAATCTACCTTCTTTAAACAAATGCACGCTCAGTTGTACCTAAGACGACTAGCACTCCCCAAAACGCTGGACTCAGTGTTTATGAACAGTCATGTAAACGGCATCGACGTCATCTCTACTTGCCTGTTACTATTGCGCCTGTAGCTTTTAAGAGGTGAAACTATTGTTTGAATTCTTAATTTTTTTTTTTCTTTTTGAGTCACACCCGGTGATGCTCAGAGGTTCCTCCTGGCTCTGCACTCAGGAATTACTCCTGGCAGGACTTGGGGGACCATATGGGATGCTGGGGATCGAACCTGGGTCGGCCGCATGCCAGGAAAATGCCCTCCCTGCTGTATTATCACTCCAGCCTCTCTTAATAGATTTTTAAGTACTTACTACATAACTAGTGCTAGTATGTAATAATAGGGTTTTTTTTTTGGTTTTGTTTTGTGTATTTATTTATTTTGGGCCACACCCGGCGATGCTCAGGAGTCACTCCTGGCTCGGCACTGAGGAATTACTCTTAGCAGTGCTCGGGAGACCGTATGGGGTGCTGGGGATCAAACCTGGGTCAGCCTTGTGCAAAGCAAGCACCCTCCCCACTGTACTATCTCTCCAGCCTCTGTAATAGATTTTTAAATACTCTTAAGTATTCCTTCCCCTTTATTCTTATTTTGTAAATGATTCAAATAAAAAAAATTCTCTGCCTGAAAATGTTCCTGGGAATAGAGAAATAGGTGTAACAATGTATTTGTTACACTTGGGGACTTTCTGCCAGTTGAAATGCCAAAGTGCTGTGGGGTCCTCTGAGGAGATGTTCAGGAACAGGGCGACTCAGAGACCCAGGGTTGGTGCTGAATCTTGGGTCCCGGGCCCAGTGTCCCTATTTGGTTAGAGGAAGAAGCTGTAGAAATGGTCACCGCGCCCAGCTGAACTGGGGGTGACCAAGGGGACAGGCCTTGCTGGGCATCTCTTGCTCTCATAAAATGACCAGGAACTGACTTCCAGGTTTCTCGTAAGAAAGACCAAGACGTGGCCTTGACCGGCCAGCTGACGCTGGTGGAGATGCTTTGGGCAGAAGAGCTGAAGATGCTGCAGGCGTCCGCTGAGGCCCTGATTGGCCTGCAGGCAGCGCTGAGGTGACTTCCCTGGGGGCATGGGGAAGGAACCCCCATGGGGAGGGAGTTGGGGAGGAGTGTGGGGATTGGGGCTGGGGCCGGGGCTAGAGGGAGGGGTGGGCTCCACTTCCTTCAGGCTCTGGGTCACCGTGCTGACTGCGGCTGTCACTGTCACCGACCTTGCCTTTGCCTGTTGGTCCCTGCAGTCCGTCCTGACCTGACTGCGGCATGTCTGGGGGATGGAGCGGCGGCAGTTCTCAGGACTCTGGGGACAGGGCAGATGACCAGACGGCCTGCCTCCCTCAGCTGCCAGTGAAGCTACACAACGAATGCCCTCCTGGAGGTGCTCCTAACGCCCAGAACAAAGCCTGGAGGGATCCTCGGCAGAGAGGACAGCGGGGAAGGCGGGGGGGCATGGCCCTGAGCCCCAGCCTCACCGACCTCCCACCTGCAGATGAGGAGGGGGCGGGAATGGAGGTGCCCGTGTACTTCCGCCTCATGCGCCCCTCGCCCCCTACCCAGCAGCACGGCTGGTGGGCATGGCCCTCGCTCCTGAGTAGCACAGGGTGCTTGTGGGAGAGACTATCCAGCCCTGACCTGGTCACTTCCTGTCTGCTTCTCTTGGGGAAAGAGAAGTGGGGGCCTGACCTCATTCCTCTGCTCCTGTGCAGAGGTGTCTCTCGAGCTGCTGTTCGGGCAATGGGGGTGTGTGTGTGTGTGTGTGTGTGTGTGTGTGTTCATGGGTGTGTGTGTGTGTGCCCGTGTCCTCATTCCTCTGCTTGTTGCTCGAGCTGCTGTTGGGGCCATGGTGTGTGTGTGTGTGTGTGTGTGTGTGTGTGTGTGTGTGTGTGTGTGTGTGTGATTCTATCCTGCTAGTTTTCCTCCCTTTTTTACTTTTTTATGTAATCAAAGGATTTCACATACAGACTTTCCATGTGTGTTTTTTTTCCTTTCGACTATGCTCCAGCGACCAGTTTGTCCATGTTGGCCCTGGTGGGGGGACACCTCCCCCAGCCCTCTCATGCCCCTCAGTGTTTGGGAGGCCCTGGAGAGAGGGCAGGGGATGCGTCACTAGCCGTCACGTCTGAGCACGTGCCCCACTCAGGCCGCTGGCCAATGTCAGACAGGGCCATTGCTTTCATTCGGGGGCTGTGTTGGGTTGGGGGATGCTCATGGCTCGATGCTCTGGAGTCTCTGGCAGAGTGCTCAGGGGACCCTGTGGTGCTGGACCCAGGCCAGGGTGCTGTCCAGCGTGCGCTCAGCGTCCTCCCATCCCATCCTGGGTCAGGGCTGCCCTCCTGGCCACTCTGGGCCTCACCCTTCCCCTCATTCACTTGGTGAGAAAGTAGGGCAGCCCCTGCGCCCGGCCCCAGTGCCCATCGCTCTGAGACACTCAACTGTCCCTGCATGGCTCACGCTGCCCGGCTGGGCTTCCCTGTCCCTGGTGTCAGGCTCCTGTGTCCCCAACAGTGTTTGCCCTGTCCACTCTAGACCTCCCGGTGCCACCTCCTGTCCACTCCATCGCCCCTGGTGCCTGTCCTGTCCACACCATGTGCCCCGGGTGTACCCTCCCCCCTCCAGTCACCGTGTCTCCGCTGGTGCCTGCCTTTTCCTCTCTCCCTCACCAGCAGTGGCTCAGGGCAGCAGACCAGTGAGCCCCAGTGCGCCTTGGGGAGCAGGGTCTTATTTCATTGGTCTGCCGTGTCCAGGCCACTGTGGATCTTAAAGCTCCCAGGCGACCCGGATGTACCCTACATTTGTTACTCTGAGCCTCTGAGCCTGAGAAGGAGCTGCTTTACTATTTATTTATTTGGGCGTCATAGGTTGCAGTCGTGCTGAAGTTATGACTTTGTTTTATTTTTGGGTCACACGCTTCAGAGAGAAAGAATATAGTATAACAAATTAAGCTTAGTTTTTTTTTTAAAGCTTAATTATACAGGGCTGGAGCAATAGCCCAGCGGGTAGGACATTTGCCTTGCACGCGGCCAACCTGGCAGACCCGGGTTCAATTCCTCTGTCCCTCTTAGAGAGCCCGGCAAGCTACCGAGAGTATCTCGCCCACATGGCAGAGCCTGGCAAGCTACCCGTTACATATTCGATATGCCAAACACAGTAACAACAAGTCTCACGATGGAGACTTTACTGGGCCCACTCGAGCTAATCGATGAACAACGGGAGGACAGTGCAGTACTATATTATACATATACATATTTATGTGTATACATATGTGCCTGTCTGTTTTTGGACTTTGGTATTTCATGCTCCTTCCACCATGGTCCTGTACACAAACACACACACACACACACACACACACACACACACGTAATATTTTATCAAAGTTTGGTCACTGGCCAATTTTGTCTGATTTATTTGGGACACTCATTAGTTTTCTTTTGAGGCATCACCAGTTAGTGCTCAGGCGTCACTGCCAGCTCAGTGCTTGAGGGTCACTTCAGGTACTAGGGATCAATTCTGGGCGTCCTGAATGCAAAACATGTCCTCCTGCCCAACAAGCTATCCTGGCTTCTGAGATACTTATTTCGAACAAAAAATAGAGAATTTTTTTTTCTTTTTGGGTGACACCCGGCGATGCTCAGGGGTTAATCCAGGCGCTGCACTCAGGAATTACTCCTGGAAGTGCTCGGGGGACCATATGGGATGCCTGGGGTTCAATCCAGTTTGGCTGCATGCAAGGCAAATGCTCTATAGCTGTGATACAGCTCTGGGCCTCAATATTGTCATCTTAATGGTCAAGATGAGAATGATAAGAAGGCAACTTTAAGAAGGCATGTTCTGAGTGTAGGAAAACACTTGAAGTGGGAATTCTTCTGCTTGGAAAGAATATGAGCCTGGACCACATCTTCTGGAGTGATAACACAGCAGTAGGGCGTTTGCCTTGCGCGCAGCCAGCCCTGCCGAGCCGGGTTTGATTCCTCTGCCTCTCTCGGGGAGCCCAGCGAGCTTCCGAGAGTATCTTGCCCGCAGGCCCGTGATGTATTCAATATGCCGAACACAGAAACAACAATTTAATATGCCAAACACAGTAACAAGTCTCAAAATGGAGACATTACTGGGCCCGCTGGAGCAAATCTATGAACCGGAGGACAGTGTTTGTTTTTGGACAGTTTATTGAATCACCATGAGAACAGTCACAAAGCCTTTCAATTTACGTCTCGGTTGGTCATACAATGATCCCATCCCTTCACCGGTTCACATTTTCCACCACCAAGAAACCCAGTATACCCCTCTTCCACCCCTCCCCCTGCCTGTGTGGCAGATTTCCACTTTACTCTCTCCGGGGGATCACTCCTGGAGGGGCTGGGGATCATACGGGGTGCTGGGGATCCAAAGCCCTGTCTAGTGCGGGACAAGCGCCCCCTAACGGCTATAATAGTTCACTGGCCTTTAGTTGTTTTGCTTTTTCGGAGAGGGCGTTTGCCTTGTGCGCAGCTGGCCTGGCTGAGCCGGGTTCGATTCCTCTGCCCCTCTTGAGAGCCCGGAAAGCTACCGAGAGTATCTCGCCTGCACGGCAAAGCCTGGCAAGCTCCCCGTGACGTATTCGATATGCCAAATACAGCAACAACAAAGTCTCACAATGGAGACGTTACTGAGCCCGCTCGAGAAAAATCGATGAACAAGGGGAGGACAGTGACAGTGACTTTCTTTTTTCCCTGGCTTTTAAAACTTTATTCGCTTCCAAACCTTCCTCAGAGGCAGGTCTCTGCTGGCAAAAGGGTGCGTCAGCCTCTGGGGGGGCGACAGTGACTTCTTAAAAAAAAACTTTCAACCTTAAAAATAAATGAAATTCTAATACACAACACAAATTCATTTGCAACATAGAGCTCTTGTGAATATCAGGCTAAGTGAAAGAAGTCGACACAAAAGTCAAGTTTTGTTTCCTTTCATCATGAAATATCCACAGCAGGGAAATCTACAAAATAAACCAGCAGTTGCCAAGGGCTGGGGAGAACGGGTGGGGGATGTAATGGGGCAGGTGGTATGTATGTGTGTAGTATGACTGCTAATGTGTATGGAGTTTCTTGAATAATGAAATGCTGCATTTCAAAATTAATAAACAGTGATGACAGTTGCACAATTCTATAGATTAATACTAAAACCCTCCAAACTGCAGACTTAATAAGGAGTGCTTCAAGGAAATGTTTAAATATTACTTCTGTTACATATCTAACCTATGCAACTATTTTCCAACATCCACTTCGATTCTAAATAGACCAGCCCGGCAGTCCGAAGGGTTGAGTGCTTTTATGTTGCCTGGGTTTGATCCCGGGACCACATTCGCAGAGGACCAAGAGTTCCTTCCAAGCACAGAGCTGGGTGGGGCTCCCCTAGCACTAATCAGTGTAGCATAAAAATTAGATCTGCTCATCTCTGGCAGCTCGTTTTATACTTAGAATATCAGGCTTTGAGGTAATGTGTGAAACTTAACAGGCAAATATGGTTGAGTATCTTGGTACAAACTCATCCGCCCTACTAGAAAACATGCTTTACCAACGGTGGGAAAATGTCATCAAATGTATGACTTAAAAAGCTATAGGTCCCAGGAAATGGGGGATGAAGACATATGGTTATCCCTTTTCACTAAATTCTTCTGAGGGGAGAGTGGAAATTAGACCTACCAGGCCTGGTGGCTCAGTGCTAGGGGCTGGCTCTACAGCAGTGAATAGGCCCCGCAGCTAACCAGAGCCATTGGTGCCTTGGGAGCCATGTGGGTGCTAGGGATCAAACTCAGCTCTAAGCACACGTCAGTCATGTATCCCTAACCCCTGAACTATCTACCCAGCCCCTAAATCAATGTCTTTGAGTTTCAGTTTTCAGATCTTAGGAACACACCAAAAAAAATCCCAACCTCTAAACTCCCTGATAGCCAACGAGAGGTAGATATTCAACAACAGTGAATAAGAGTGGCCAGTGAGGGGAGTATGAGTCAGGACAATTAATGAAATGTATTTTACTATTCACGACTAGTAACTGTGATGTTAATTAAGATGAGGAACTGAAGTTCAGAGTAGATCAAAGTGGTGAATAATTTACTACGTGTGGAATGCAGTGTCACTAAGTGACCTTTTCCCTTCTCATCTAGATACAAACAAAAATCTAAGACATACAAACCTGAAATTTGAGTATTTAAATAACACTGAGAGTACTGACCTTAATTTTATCTAAAGATTTACAATTGTACAGAGAATTCAGGGGTATTTATAGAGGTTTACAAATGAAAGAAGAGACATTGTCATTAAGAACAACGATTTGAGCAAACTGTACTGGTTTATTTACAATTGTAATTTATAAACAGTAACACAAACGTTTTTACATTAGTATTATGAAAAAGTCCCATGGCTGATATGGGGGGGGGGAAGGGGATCTAAAGGGGATGATGAGGAAAGGAAAAAATACAATACAACAGTTGCAAGGAGAATTATAAATATCAAGCATTGCACAAAGTGCAATTTCATGCAAATGTCTTCAACCACTCAAACTTTTTATTAGATATTAGAATATTATCTTGAATTATGTTGCCTTTTATTCACTTGATTTTCATTAAGTAATCTAAAATAAATGACTGTAAACAAGGTAGACCTAAGTATCTCTTTTAACACCCCTTAGAAAAATCCATTAGATTTTAGAACGTGGTAGATTGTGAAGAATTGCGACTTCCCAGGGATTCTTCACAAAAAGTCACTTTGTAGATAGCAGAGAGATAGTACAGTGGATAGGGTGCTTGTCTTGCATGTGGCCAACCTGGGTGGATCTCTGGCACCCCATAGGGTCCTCCAAGCAATGCCAGGAGTGATTACTGAGTGCAGAGCCAGGAATAACCCCTGAGCATGGCAAGGTGGACCCCAAAACAAAAACAATAAAAAGTTACTTTGTAGATTTTATTGTGTTTCCAGATTTCTTTTACCAAATGAGTCTAATATGGACCTTAATAAATTAAATTGAGACGTTCTGGTTTTGTCATTTTAAGAGAATAAAAAGTTTCAAACCTCTAGAACTTTAGTAAGACAAAAACCAAAAGAAGAAAATGAAATTTCAGAAAGTTATAAGACAAATACAACCATAGTTTATGTAATTCTTTAATTATTTGGCTTTTATTTAAAGTGGATATTAGTATGGTCACAGACCATAATCTCAAAGAGAATAAGTCAGTGTATGATCAACACTTGTTTTGAAATATTCCATATCAAATATTCCACTTGTAATAAAAACCAATGATATTTTTACAAATACAATTCTGTTACCAAAATGTTTAATCTTGTGCCTATCTACTTAATATAATGCGTTTCACTGCTCCTTAGAAACCACAGGATGAAGTTTAGTATTTGAAGCACTCAGTGTTCAAATTATTAGTACATGGTACGAAGAAGATTTATAAGTTGATGTATCAACATTTTACTAGCTTGGACTGCTTTTCTGAGTTGGCTGGAGTCTTCATCCATTTCATTAAAAATATTTTATTTTTTAAGAAATAGCAAGCTAATTAACCTATGTAATACTTTTTCATTACTGATACTATTCAGTGAGTAAATAATGTAGTATTTAAGGGGGTCTCTTTAATTCTATCTCTATTTCAGTGAAGACATTGCAAATATGTATATATAAGTTCACTGTGAAATCTGAAAGTGATGCATATTCCCTTAAAACAGCTCTTCAAAACAGAACTGCATTCTATACCCTCAGGTTCATAAGGGCACAGGGTCAGTTACTTCGAAGTCATTTAGTAACTGACCTTTATAATAAACCGTTTTACAAAACCAAATATGCAAAATAAAATTTAAAAATGTTTTTCAACTGTCCAGAGATTGATTATAGTAATTTATACTTTCTTAAATCTGTTTTTCAATTAAAGTATAATCATTTACACTTTCTTAGACCTGCTACCCATGAGCAAATGAAAAGTCTCCAGTTAATATTCAGTCAGGAAAATATGTCCATGTTTCTTTTGGTTGCCTTAATTCCTTTTAAATACTTCTCTGGTATATTAACTTTCCAAAGCATCCAAAACTTTCATGATCTGTTGTTTTATGGCTTTGGTTGCATCTCCTGCGTTTGGAATCAAATACCTATGGGGGAAAATACATACATATTAACACAATCCTTTCCCGTCAGGACGCATCCAGATGTCAGAGCTTCTCACTGGTAGCTTTCCTTAATTTACTATGTATTCCTCTTAATTTGGTTTAACAATTCTTAAAAATATTTTGAAAAAAAAAAAACTAGATGTTTACATCTTTCAAAAACATTAAAAATATTTCTAGATTTTCTTTCTAAAGCTAAACATTTGAACTTGAGATCTTTATATTTTTCTTTCAAAAAACCTTTTTTTTTTTTTTTTGTGGGGCGAAGTGGGGAGGTGAGCATACCTGGTTGAGCTCGGGGATTACTCCTAGCTCTATACTCAGGGTATTATATGTGGGGCTAGCGACTGAACCCAAATCAGCCATATGAAAAAAGTACTTTCCCCTCTAGACTGTCTCTCTTGCCTCCCAAATATGCTTTAAAGTCATTTTTCTTATAATCAGAAGTAGTTCCTTGAACCATTATTAAATATAAATGAATAAAAAAATACAAGATATATATAACATTCTTCTGCACAATACATATATAATTCGAACAAATAGTTAAGAAAATGACAACTTCAATGATTTTTGGCCTTGAACAAGTAATTTAAATTTAGTAACACAGATTCATATGTAAAATAGGTATAATTTTTCCAAATTTATATATGAAATGGAGTATTGTAGCATCTTAAATTTTAAAAGGATAAAGAACATGGTAATTATGTACTTTATTAATACTAAAAGTATTAATACTTTTCCAGGAATATTAAAATATTGCTCATTTTCTGTAAAATCTAATGTAAATTGATACTATATAAATTGCCTATGTCTCAGGTCAGAGCAGTAATACAGTTGGTAGGGTTCCCAATGGTTCCCTGAGCACTGCCAGGAGTAATTCTTGAGTGCAAAGCCAGGAGTAACCCCTGAGCACTGCCGGTTGTGGGCACCCTCCACCCACAAAATAAATTTTCTCATATTAAGAATACAAAGACGGGGCTGGAGTAATAGCACAGCGGGTAGGGCGTTTGCCTTGCACATGGCTCAACCTGGGTTCGATTCCTGGCATCCCATATGGTCCCCTGAGCACAGCCAGGAGTAATTCCTGAGTGCATGAACCAGGAGTAACCCCTGTGCATCGCTGGGTGTGACCCAAAAAGCAAAAACAAAAAACAAAAAACAAAAAACAAAAAAAACAAAGACCTGTGAACTCTGGCTAACTTATCTGTCCAAATTCTGAATTTAAAAGGCATTCTAAGCAACATATAAAAACTTCACACTTCTTTAGAAAAATGCTTGGGAAAACCTCTAAAAATAATCTGAAGCACAAATGAAAGAATCACAATTCAAATGTTCTCTGATTAAGATCAATTTTTAATGAAATGAGAAATAGATAGCACCCTATGATCCACTGAACTTATTTGGGAGAATTTATTCTGGGAATATTCACTGAACATGTATGTAAACAGGTTTAAAGGAAAGTTCATTAAAAATGCCAATAGTGAAAAACTAGAAACAACATTAACATCTACCACAGAGAATTGATTTAAGCACAGAACAGCCACACAGCTTATTATCTTTCAGGATATGTGTTGGGTATGAGTGCTCAAAGTGCTGAAGCACATGCTTTGCCAACTAGAACTACAATCTTCAACCTCCCCTACCACCCGGTCCCCAGCACTGCCAGAAGCAGCCCATAAGCACCATGTTGGAAGTACGACCTAAGTGCAGAGATGAGGGCGGCCTTAAACCCAAAAAGACCCAAAACAAACATAACAAGCAAGAATGGCTAAACTGTTACAGACCAAAGGTATCCAATCTAAAGAAGGTCATTACAAACATTACATTTGCATTAAGAAATCAATACATCAAGAAAACTGACTCTTATCAACAAAATATGCACCAAATAAAGGGGAAGGAAAGTTCTTAAGGAAACTACTACTAGTCTTGAGGAATAACAGAGGGAAACACAACAGCAGGAGGACACTTTAACATATCACTCCATCACTGAGCAGATCAATCAGACAGAAAATTAGTAAGGACACAAAAGACCTAAACGAGGAATTGAAGAGCAGGAATCCCTGTCCCTCAAAGATGAATATTCCTTTACAGTGCACATGGGCCATAAAGTTGTGAAAACAGAAGTCATAACTAACTCCCTCTTCAGATCACAAGGCTATTGCAGTTGGAAACTGACTATAAAAAGAAAGCTGGGAAAACAAACTAACTTAAGGAGACAAAACAACATACTGTTGAACAATCACTGGGTCAAAAAGAAAATTAAGAAGAAATAAAAAGACTCCTGGAAATTACTGAGAATGAAGAGCTATCAGAATCTATAGGTCACAGCAACATCAGTACTAAGAAGGAAATTCATAGTAATACAGGCTTCTTTACATCAGAGATAAGAAATATCTTAAGGGCATACAATAGATCAACGAAACCAGGAGCTTGAGACTGAAAAACCCTTTCATATATTCATTTAGAAAAAGAAAAAAAGAAAACTCAGACCAGAAATTAAGTTACAATAGATATCTTCAGAAATACAAAAGATGCTAAGAAATTGTTATAAATAAGCTCATGCAACCTAAGAAGGAGAACCTAAAAGTAATGGGTGAATTTCTAGAGTCAAAAAACTTCCAAGACTGAGTGAGGAAGACGCAGAAAACCTGAGTAGACTAGAGTCTACTAAGGAAATTAAAATAGTAATTTAACAAAATCTTCCCCTAAATAAAATTCTAGATGGGTTTGCTGAAGAGTTCTAACAAACCTCCAAAGTTCCAATAACCTATCCTTTTCAAGTTCTTCCAGAAAGTCAAATAAACAGAAATTCTACCTAACAGTTTCAATAATACCAACATTACCCTAATACCAAAAGTAGCCAGAGACAATAAAAAAGCTGCCAACCAATTTCCCTGATGAACATAATGCAAAGAATCCTTGACAAAATGTTAGTGAACCAAAAATCAACAATACATGAAAAAGATCATACAGCACAATCAGGTTGAAATTATTTCAGAGATGCATAGATGGTTCCGTATATAAAAATCAATGAACTTGAATGCAACATCAGTAGAAGGATAGAAGTAAATAAGCTGAGAGACTTTTTTCCCTTTGGAGAACTCCTTCTCCTGAACATATATTTCTCTTTTCCTTTCCCCTCATCATTTCTTTAAGTAAACTTTTTTTTTCATTTTTATAGAGTTGTTTGTGATAATTTATTAGTCAATATTCCAAACCCCACCCCATCACCATTACACCTTCCCACCACCATTATTTAGAATTTTACCGCCACTACCCAAGCCTGCCCAAAAGGTAAATCCTAAATAATTTATTTTGTATTGCTTGTTTGCTTGTTATGAAGAAACCACTAAAAATGATCCAAAAAAGCTTCCTTAGAGGAAGTGTGTGAGGATTGTTATATCTCACTCTGGAGACATTAACCTCTTGTGTAAGAGATTACTAGCATGCTGCTACAGGTGCTAATATATTTTTGAATCAAGTAAAATTTCTACTTTACACCCCATCAAATGGGCTGGAGTGATAGCACAGCGGGTAGGGCGTTTGCCTTGCATGCAGCCAACATGGCCGACCCGAGTTCGATTCCTCTGCTCCTCTTGGAGAGCCCGGCAAGCTACCGAGAGTATCTCGCCTGCACGGCAGAGCCTGGCAAGTCACCCGTAACGTATTCGATATGCCAAACACAGGAACAATTGTCACAATGGAGACGTTACTGGGCCCGCTCGAGCAAATCGATGAACGGGAGGACAGTGACAGTGACAGCGACCCCATCAAATATAGTGTGCTACTCCTGGTACACGTGGCTTAGAGAATGAGCGACTTCAGGAAGTCTAAAATAAAGGAAACTATTTTAAGTATTTTGATTCACTATTTCATTTCTCTGAGATTGTTGGTATGAAGAAAGGCATACCTGGAATATCTGTGCTGGTTAGTACTGACTTTCCTTCTCCTACAAAGAACAATTCCTTGCTCCAGCCTGTCAGTAACCGGTTTCTATGTCACTCAGAACAAATGGTGTTTAGACACAGCCTGACCGCTCCTTGTGGGGCTGGTGGCACATTAGCATCCTTGCAATGTGGGTGTTTGTGGTTGACTTTACCAGTCCTGACCTATGCCAGGCATTTCCCCCACTCGCGTAGGTAGGCTGAGGGGGAGAAGTACGGCCTACCTACCTCCCTCATTCCCCACTTCACCCAAGTCACTGAAAAGTGAAGGAGAAATTTTACAGGAGAAGGAACCCTGTGGAAATTTACAAGTATATTCGCTTGGGGAGTGTCTCTGTAGCTTGGTCAGAATATAAAGTTTATATTCTCGTGAGATTTTACTCCCAGGCCAGTTTACCACCGTCTTTCCCTTAACCCTCCCTCTGCATCCTTAGAAAATCCCCAGGGCCTCTCAGCAAGCAATGGGTTCCTCCAAATAGAGCACTCTCTGAACTTGCTGGGTTTATGCAACACAACTAGCCAAGCTTATTAGAAGAAAGCTGTTTTGCAAATTAAAGGAAAAGGTGAAAATAAAACCAATTCATAACTATTGCCTTTATGGAGAAATCAGACTGTAGTTCTACAGAGGCAATTAAACAAGTATATTCTAGAAGGCCTGATTTAAACTGTCCCCTGAATAATCTAGACAAAACTTTGCTGACAGTAGTAGCCGACTTCATGAAGGGGCTTGAAAAGATGAATAAATACACTGTTGTGACAGTGGAATAGTGGATAGAGGAAGCCAGAACCTGTTCGGGGAACTTCAACTCAAAAGGCAGAACTACTTGCTCTCGCCCAAGCCTGCTAACTGGTTGCAGGACTTAGAGATACTGATTCTTACTAAGCAGTCTTAGTCCTATAAGCTCATGCCACATGTAGAAAGAAAGGAGAGACCTAACAGCTAAAGATAGTCCAATAAAACATGAGGATGCAGTACTATTCACAATAGCCCAAATCTGGAAACAACCCAAGTGCTGAAGAACAGATGACCAGATAAAGAAA